TTGCCTTTTCCCACATGTAAGATAATGTCTAACAGGGTGATATGGTTTGGCTGCGTCCCCACCAAAATTTCATCTTGAATTGAAACTCCCACAATTCCCACATGTTGTGGGAGGAATCTGGTGGAAAGTAATTGAATCATGGGTCGGGTCTCTCCAGTGCTGTTCTCGTGACAGTGAATAGGTCTCAGGAGATCTGATGGTTTTAAAAATGGAAGTTTCCCTGCACAAGCTCTCTTCTCTTGTCTGCTGCCATGTGAGACGTGCCTTTCACCTTTCACCATGATTGTGAGGCCTCCCCAGTCATGTGGAACTGTAAGTCCCATAAACCTTTTTCTTCTGTAAATTGGCCAGTCTTGGGTATGTCTTTATTAGCAGCATGAAAATGGACTGGCCAGGCACGGTGGCTCATGCCTGTAGTCCCAGCACTTTGGAAGCCCAAGTTGGGTAGATCATCTAAGGTCAGGAGTTTAAGACCAGCCTGGCCAATGTGGTGAAACCCTGTCTCTACTAAAAGTACAAAAACTATCCGGGCATAGTGGCAGGCAACTGCAATCCCAACTACTCGGGAGGCTGAGGCAGGAGAATCACTTGAACCTGGGAGGTGGATGCTGCAGTGAGTTGTGATCATGCCATTGCACTCCAGCCTGGGTGACAATAGTGAAACTCTGTCTCAAAAAATAAAAAAATAAATAAAAGAAAATGGACTAATACACAGGGTTAATGATTATGACTCTGTAATCTATAACCAGGTGCTCTTACACATAAACATTCATGTGATTCTGCTTTGATATAACTTCTGAGCAAGGTTGATGTGATCTTCTGCATACTAAATCTCCATAGTCCACATATGAACTGTGAGCTGAAACACTGTGCTGGAGCAGTCAGACAGAATCTCTCTGAAAAACTTCTCCAGCGTCATAGGCCCAGAATAAATAGAAACTTCTCATCCAGGCATCATACTTAATATTAAGAACATTAGTTTACATCAATTTATATAAAATTTTAAGCACCTGTCCCATTAAGCTAACGGGGAAATTCAGTCTTGGTCGTTACAATGGCTTTCCAATTTGTGAGCAATATGATGGTTTGTTTTTCCCTAACTTGAAGGTTATGCAAAGATCCTGAGGCCATACATGAGCCAGCTCATTAGGGAGACTCCTCTGATAGGCAACCACCAGTACACACTGGTCCACTGACCTAAGCTGCAGGTTCTCCCTGCTGTCACCCCACACTTGGGATGTAGGGGTCTTCAGGGGTTGGGGATGGAGGTTCTTGGGCTTAGAATTTAGCCTCCTCAGCACATCATGCAGCTACCTCTTCTGAGGCTTTTCAAACTCCCCAGATAAATTAGCATCTGTGTCCAAGCTATTTATTTAATCTCTCTGTGGATTCTTATGCCAATGTTATACTTTAAGGAAACTTATTAGAGCTTTAAAATACATATTAACATTCTAACAAGTCTTTTTCTCATTATATTTCTCTTGGTGGCTTTTATTAGCCCCAAGCAGTTGCCTTCATCTGCTTGGGGATGAGATGTCTTCAGAGTAAGGATCTTCCATCAATCCATCCCTAGAGTTACCCCTGTGCCCACTCCCCACTCTCATTTTCCCCTGATTGGGTCTCTATTTTCAAATTCTTTTCAAAACAGAAAAATAAATTATCTATAGAAAGCCATGTCCTCTCCTAACCCATCTTTGGCCAGTTTGACATAATCTCTATTTCAGAATAAACTGAAAATCAGCTTAATCAAATCCAAAATAAAGAATTTAACACAGTTACAAAATATAATGGCATTTGCTTCTTAGGTCCCCATTGAGAAAGCACAGTTTCAGTCTCATAATTCCACCAAAGTTTACACGACAAAAATCCTTTCTCCCAGTTGAACAATGTATGTATTTGCTTGAGGAAATACCCACTCTCTTAAACAAAAAGAGCTGTGTCCAAAACCCCAGGACACTTTTGGCTTTTGCTATGGTAAATAAAGACTTCCATTTTGTTTCCTCTCCAAGGACATATCTCAACAAATAGGAGGCTTCACTCTGGCTGGAAAAAGGAAAAGCAAGTCATTACATCTCTCTCTGTCTCTCTCACACACACACACACCTTAGACACTAATAATTCACAACCCCTCCCTTATTGCTCATCCTAAGGACCTTGTTTGCTCTGTTACTCCCAGCTTTATTTGGGCCATTTTGCCCTTGGAAAATTGTTAAGGTTTCTCATTGATAATTGAACATCCCTATGACTTCACAATCGAAATTCAAAATTTAACTTTTGCCCTTCTTCCTACAGCCCACATTTACCCCCACCCTCCAAAGCTGCCCGGCTGCCTGCTCAGGTATAGGCCACACCCGGCATGGATGCCTGGCTGGTTGGCAGCTCTATCTCCACCTCATTTGCAGTACATATGTGGCCACTGCAAGCCCCATTTTACCCCTTTCCCAGCTGAGATTTCAGTGGGTTTCACCCCAACTACTTTAGGTGTGTACTGTCATCATCCTCATTCAGAGTAATCCTTTCTTCATTAGTTTGTTTTAGAAACAAATAAGGAAGTAGCCTCAGGCTGCTTGCAGTCAGCTTGTTTCTATGAGGGGATTCACCCACATGGCAGAGCCAACATCTGGGGAGGAAGGCCCACAGAGGCCCTGGTTGAACAGGGCCTGAAGTCCAACTTCCCCTAGTATATTTCAGTTATATGAGATAATCAAATTCCTTTATTATGTAAGCCACTTGGGGTTGGGTTTTCTGTTACTTGCAACTGAAAATATCCCAAGTAACATATCAGATCTCCTCTAATCCCAGAAAGTGACTTTCCTCACCCCAAGAAAGGACTTGTCTCCCATGGCAGGACTAGATGGGCTTCTCTCAAGAATCAAAATCCAACTCTAGTCCTTTCCTGCTTTCCTTTTTTCTGCCAATGTTCAGTTTCCATTTCTGATGGCCTTTCCTGTCTTTTTTGTTTTTAAAAAACAACTCAGAATTAGTTTGAATGTTAAAATTTAATTTTAACTTAATTTTTATTTTACTTCAGAAATACATATTCACAAGTTAGGCAATCACACAGTTTTCAAAATGAGAAGTCCCCACCCTATCCTCCCACCCCCAACTTCTCCATAGAGGTAATCCCTGCCCATTCTTTCTTCTGCTTCTACCTGTATTTACCTCCTATTGCTAAATAATATGGTTGTACAGCTATTCATCATTTTCCAGCTTTAGTTATTATGCATTTTCTGTGATGGAATATGGCAGCTTAGGTTTCTTATGCTTCTCCCACACATGTGCACATCTTGTCCCTTCATTTCCTGAAAAACAGGTTATATCACAGTATTTCACTCCAACAGCGCCCCCTTATCTGTGGGAGTTGCATTCCAAGACCCCCAATAGATTCCTGAAATCACAAATAGTACCAAACCCGATTGCTGTCAATTGGAACACATTCCTCTTCATGTCTTCCACCCATAAATGTAATACTTTTTCATCTTAACTAAGCATTTATTACACACCGTGGGGTGTAATAAATAATTTTTGCAACTTGAGGTACAACAGCAAAACTAGCACAAATTTCTTTTGCCTTTTTCACAATTTTACAGATGGATTTGTTCTTATTGTAGATCTTAGCAACTTCAGCATGTGTTTTTTTTTTAGTCATGCTAAAAAAAGCATGACTTTTATTAAGTCAAGAACTTTCACCTTTTCTGTTAGAGGAAGCACTTTACAGCTTCTCTTTGGTGTATCTTATTTGCCAGCATTACTACTCTTATGCTTTGGGGACATTATTAAGTAAAATAAGAGTGACTTTGACACAAGCACTGCTATACCACAGTTGGTCTGATCAACTGGATAATGACTAAGTGACTCATGGGTGGGTAGCATATACATTGTGGATCCACTGGAGAAATCTCACACCATCCCACTTTGCCATGCCCAGAACATGGGTGGAGTGGGATAGTGTGAGATTTCAACATGCTACTCAAAACAGTACATGTTTTAAAACTTAAGAATTATTTTGGGAATTTTCCATTTAATATTTTCAGACTGGTTGGCTGTAACTGAACTGCAGAAAGCAAAACCACAGATAATGGGGAACTACTATATTCATATTATCCTCTATGTAAATATTATTCACAGCTGAGCCATGTAGTGTACTATGGTTATATTTCCTCTCTAATACAAAAGTTTCTTTTCCTCTATCATTTAAAAACTGTATTGTGTTTTCACTTGCTTATTTTTCTATGTATTTGTCACTAGTTTATCTCAATCTCTGCAAGAGAAATCTAAATCCCTCTCAATGTGCATGAATCAATTAATTTCTTTTTTTTCTGGGAGACATCTCTCCTAGAGTCCCTTAAGAGTCCTGCTCCAACATGAATGAGTTGCTTTCTAAGCCTGCTACACACCAACATCCTGGGAATTGCCTTCACTCTCACCTGTGTCAGATTCCTTATTTCCTACTTACTGTGTTTTTCTCTATCTTGGTTTAATCTCTTATTTCGGAGGACCTGTTATACTCAAAAGGTCTCTATCTACTCTCACATTTATTTGTTGGTGCCTTTCATGTTAGGGCCTTTCCCTCTAATGTATTGTGTTCATTGACTGTTGTTCATAATTAAGAATGAGGCTCTGACAGGTTGACCAAATGCTGTGAGTGGAAGGGATTCGTTGCATTGTGGGCTTCATTGTCAGGTGAGTAATAGGGCAGATACCCAGTTTTTGTGTTGAAGGATCCTCAACTGTTCATATCTGTCAGCCATTTTTTCAGATAATGCAGTTTCCCCATAGGTGGATCCTCCAGGGTCCTGTCTTGACAGGGTTTGAGTCTGTCATCATTCTGGTAGCTAAATAAGGAAAAGGTACTGGGATTTGTGCTTAGTATGAAGACTGACTTAGTCCCTCCCTGCCTTCAGAATGCCATATCCCCTCCACCCTTTACTGTACTATGAGTCAACAACTCTAAAGAGAAACGCTTGGTTTTCTTGTGAGAGTGAGGAGGGGGAGGAAACTGGTAGTAGAGGAGAGACTTTATTCAGACTTTCAACCAATCTTCCTGGAAGTTTACAAGGATAGCAGTGGGGAGAGCACCCAGCCTACACTTCTGCACAGAGATTTTTAAAACTCTTACTAGCTGTGTAAACTTAAAAAAGCTTCTTAATTTCTCTGAGCTTCAATTTCTTCAGCTGTAACATGGAACTCAGAGTTTTGGTGTGAATGTCAAATGGGATCAATGAATGTAAAGTGCCTGGCATAATCTGCCCTGCAGGGGGACTGCATTCAATTGTTGGCAGTACAGTGGTCATGGTGGTAGTAGTTGGTAGTACCCTTAGTCTTGTTTCAGTGGACAGAAAGGAACCTCTCACACTATCTAGTGTTTTTCTATACTATCTCAAAAGGGAAGGCAGCATCACCCTGCTCATGTTCTGCCGAAATGTTAATAGAATTTCAGGAGTGCAACAACTTTTGCAATTTGCCCTCTACTCTATCCTTCCCTTGAGTGCCCAATCCTAACCCTCAGAGGCACCTCTTTTATTTTTGGCTTCCATCCCAATGAATTAATGGGAAGAAGAACTGCAGCAAGGACAGAAAGAAAATTTGAGATACATGCCCTTGATGCTCCCCCTTCCATTCTATACACAATTCTTTCATTTCCCAGGGCAATGCCTCCTCCTACTTTTCCTGTCCTTCCTAACACCCTGGCAAGAGAGAAACAATAGAAATAGTGTTGCCTTCAGTGTGTTAGAACCTCTCTCCCAGTGCAAAATGAAATTATTCCTTCCCCCACTTATCGCCAGTTCTCTTTTGCTCCAATCCTTCTCCCCTCTTTTCTCTCACTGTCCTTACTTGGGACTTGAAGTTGCTTTGTTATAGGACAGCCTTCCTCTTCTTTCCCTGAATCTTAGGATGTGCTTCTTGTCTGCTCTGGGGCTTCCAGTAGCGTCGTTAGTTGGCTATATCTCAGGGAATTGAAGAGGGCAGGGGAGCTGGGGAAGCTGGGGAAGTTGTGGCTGTTTTGAAGAATTTAGAAAGCCTGATGGGCCAGATATCTGGTTCAATATCTGGAGAAAAGTAGGATCCAATGTGCTTTGCATTTTTTCCCAGTCTGATATTTCAGCCCACAGGACTCTAGTAGGGATTTTTCCTCCTGTATCCCTCATTAAGACTCAACAACTGAAAATATACTGAATAAAATTTTTGAAGTCGTTCTTATTAACAAAAGTCATGGTCAACTAAATATTAAGAATCAACATTTGTTGGGAATGATGTAAATACAAAGTCATTTGGAGACTATGCGTGAATGAAGATGGACACAATGATACAAGAACAAGTCTCATCTAAGAACTCCTTATACTTTTGTTTCCTTTCTCAATCACACACTAACAGGGAAACCACACTTTGTCTTTGCCTTCTATGGATGGCCTTTTCGGAGTGCAGACCTTAGTCTGTCCTTAAAATTCTCCCCAGCAAAGTAATAGAGCAGAGGATTGAAGCATGTATTGGCTGCCGCCAAGGCCAGTGTGATAACCACAGCTTTATGCAGCCTGTCTTCGCATATATCCACTTTCCATTTCACCAAGTGAAGGGTCCTCAGTGTGTGATAGGGCAAGAAACACAAGAAGAAGATGATCAAGGTGATGATGACGGTGGTCAGTGCCTTCTTGTGAGAAACCCGCAGCCCCGTTTCTGGGACCTCCACTTTTAACAGAGCCCGAATGATCAGCAGATAACAGACGCTGAGTGTGAAAAACGGCAGCAGGAAGCCCACCACTAAGGCAATATAGTTCATGGTCTGCAGCTTAGTAATTGTGTAGAGATTCAGCTCTAAGCATGATATGACACTGCCCTTCTGCTCAGAGCCATTGTTGAGGAGCATTACTGAGGAAGCCATGGTAAAGATCCATATGATCCCACATAGGATCCAGGCACTCCTGATGCTGGTGACATGCAGAAGCCGAAAGGGGTGAACAGTTGCCAGGAAACGCACAACACTCAGCACGGTCAGGAAATAAATACTGCTGTACATGTTGACATACAAGGAATAAGACATAATCCTGCAGGCCAGGTCTCCAAATATCCAGTCGGAGCCTCTAAGATAATAGTCAGCCCTGAAGGGAAGTGTGCTTATGAACAGGAGATCTGAAATGGCCAGATTTAGCATGAAAACATTCACAGATGTGGACTTCTTATAAGGCTGCAGGAAAACATATATGGACAAGCCATTTCCCAAGACTCCCCAGACAAATATTATCAGATATACAACTGGGAAAAATTCTCTCTTGAAGTTTTCAATTGTGCAGTTTCTGCTGTTGTTGTTACTGCTGAAGGTGCCATTTGGTTCCATTTCTGATACGGAGATGGATGGATGCAAGGACATAAATTTTCTTTCCATGCTGGGTTAAAAAGAAACAGACATAAAAAGTTACTTTGTGAATTTCCCTTTTCCCTTCTTGCTTACCGATTACATCTCTCTAGGTTTTAATGAAACAGGGAGCAATACTATCTTTTCTTTGAAAGTTGAGTTTTAAAACGCTGGTTAAGTCTTTAATATATGCTGCATTACACTTCATAATAAATTTAAACTTCCTGATTTTTGAATATAGAATAGCCATTAATTTGTTTGGTCGAAGTTGACACTTCAAACTTAGGGAACTTGTGACCTGGTGCCCATGTTGACATGAATACCTCCCTGTGGTATTGCAGCCTAAAACTACTGAATAGCAGATTTCTCATCAGAAACTGTGGAGGACAGAAGGAAATGGCACATTTCTCAAATGCTGAAAGAAAAGACCTGCCAACCTAGCATTCTACGTCCAGCAAAAACATCCTTCAAGTACAAAGAGAAAATCAAGACTTTTTCAGACAGAAAACTGAGACTTTGTTGTCAGCAGATCTATCTTAAAAGAATGACCAGGCTGGGCATGGTAGCTCACATCTGTAATTCCAGCACTTTGGGAGGCTGAGGCTGGTGGATCACTTGAGGTCAGGAGTTCAAGACCATTCTGGCCAACATGGTGAAACTCCATCTCTACTAAAAATACAAAAATTAGCTGGGCCTAGTGGCAGGTGCCTGTAATCCCAGCTACCTGGGAGGCTGAGGCAGGAGAATCGCTTGAATCTGGGAGGCAGAAGTTGCAATGAGCTGAGATCATACCATTGCACTCCAGCTTGGGCAACTAGAGTGAAACTCCATCTAAAAACAACAACAACAACAACAACAACAAATAATGACTAAAGGAAGTTATCTAAGCAGAAAGGAATTCATAAAATAAGGAATCTTAGAATATTAGAAAATAAGAAAGAACATGGTAAGCCAAAATATGTGTAAGTACAATAGGCTGTCCTTCTCTTTTAGAGTCTAAGTTACATTTAATGTTTTGAAATAAAAACGTTAATGCTGCCTGATGTGGTTTTAAATGGATGTAGAGGAATTATTAAGACAATTATATTATAAATGAGGGAAGGTAAAGAGATGTAAGAGGAAATAAGTTTTCTATACTTCACTTGAATTGGTAGAATGATGATGCTAATAGACTATCATAAGATATATATACACATATATATCTTTATATATATATATCTTTATGTATATACATATAGATCTTTATATATATACATATATATATCTTTATATATATATATAGAGAGAGAGAAAATACCTAGAGCATCCACTAAAATGATATACAAAGGGATACACTCAAAAACATTACAGATAAATAAAAATGGAATTCTAAAAAGCATTCAGATAACCAACAACAAGGCAGGAAAAAGAAGAGAGACAATAAAAACAGAAAACAAAAAATAAAATGGCAGACATCCCTGATTCATCAATAATTACATTAAATATAAGTAATCTAAATATACCAATTAAAAGATAGAGGAATGGAATATATTTTTTAAATGACCCAATTATGTACTGCCTACAACAAACACTTCAAATAGCAGTATTGGCTGGTTGAAAGTAAAAGGATGGAAAAATGCTTGCTATTCAAATCAAAGGAAATAAGGGATAGCTCTTTTAGCATCAAATAAAATGGACTTCAAAGCAAAGGACATTGCCAGAGACAGTGAGGGACACTATATAATAATAACAGGGTTTAACCACTAAGAAGACATACCAATTCTAAATGGGTATGCACCAAACAACAGAGTGGCAAAACTGAAGCAAAACTGATAAAACTGAAAGGAGAGATACTTGGTGACTTCAAGGACCTCTCTCAGCAATTGATGAAGCAAATAGACAAAAACTCAACAAAGGTATAGAAAAACTAAAAACACCATCAACAAACAGGATCAAATTGACATGTATAAAACACTTCACCCAACAAGAGCAAAATACTTAAGCTTTTAAGTGTTCACAAAACGCATACCAAGATAAACCACATCCTGGGACATAAAACAAGCCTCGATAGATTTCAAATAATTGAAATAATATAGAATGTGTTTTCTAACCACAAGGGAATCAAACTAGAAATCAGCAGCAGAAAGATAACAGGAAACCCTCAAAACACTTGAAAACTAAACAACACACTTCTAAATAATCCATGGGTCAAAGAGGAAGTCTCAAGGGAAACAAAAAATATATTGAACTGAATAAAAGTGAAAATATAAATTTGTGAGATGTAGCAAATGCAGTATTAGGACAAAACTGTATAACACTAAATGCATACATTACAAAAAGGAAAAGTCACGAAATAAGAATATAAGCTCCATCCTCAAGAAGAAAAAAGCAAGCAAAAGGAAGGAAATAGTAAAGAGCAGAAATCAAGAAATAGAAAACAGAAAAAAATAGGGAAAAAATGAAATGAAAAACTGGTTATTTGAAAACAATCAATACAATTGATTACAGGTGCATGCCACCATGCCCAGCTATTTTTCTTTTTTGTAGAGATGCTGTCTCTCCATGTTGCACAGGTTGGTCTTGAACTCCTGAGCTCAAGTGATCCTACCACCTTGGCCTTCAAAGTGTGAGATTACAGGCATGAGCCACCATGCCTGGCCAGGTAACTTTCTTATAGTAGCAGAACAGATGAAGACAATAATGAACTAAAAATTGCATATATTAAATAAAATATTACATCTCCTGACAAATCTTTAGCAAGAGGTACAAAAAAAAAAATAGAACAGACATAAATTTCCATTGTCAGGAATAAAACAGGAGATAACACTATCGATAGATACCTGAGGCATCAAAAGAATAATGAGAAAAACTTTGAATAACCCTACAAACATAAATTTCACAACTTAGAGGAACTAGACTAATTCCTCATAAAATGAAAAATAACTCACTCAACATTAAGTAGATAATTTGAATATCCCCATAACTATTAAGGAAATTAAATTCTTAATTGAAAAACTCTAAAAAAAGAAACCTCCAGATTCAGATGGCTTCACTGGAGAATTCTACCAACTATTTAAATAAGAATTAACATCAATTCCATGCAGTGTCTTCCAGAAAATAGAAGAGAAAGGTGTTTCTCAATTTATTTTATTGAAGCTAAGTATTACCCTGATACCAAAATGAGGCAAAGATAATACAGAACAAAACAAAAGACTATGGATGAATATCCCCTGTGAATATAGGTGCAAAATATCCTTAGCAAAATACCATCAAATACAATTTAGCAATATATGAAAAGAATTATACACCATGACCAAGTAATCATATCAATTAATATTTTAAAAAGTGCATGACAAAATTCAATATCCATTCACAATCAAAACTCTCAGAAATATAGGAGTAAAGAGGAATTTCCTCAACCTGATAAAGAGCATATACAAAAAAACCTATAGATAACATTACACTTCATAGTTAAAGACTGAGTGTCTCCCCCATAAGATCAGGAGCAATGCAAGGATGTCCATTCTCACTGATCTTATTCAATATAGTGCTATAAGTTCTAACCAGTGGAATGAGGCAAAAACACAAAAAGGAAATAAATATCATATAGATTAGAAAGGAAGAAATAAAATACTTCCTATTTGTAGATGACATAATTACATAGAAAACCCCAAGAGACCTACAAACATACACATACATGCACACACACAAAGAAAACGAAAATCTCATAAAGCTAATAAGTGAATTTTGCAAAGTGGCAGAATACAAAATAAACATAGAAAATCGATTATATTTTATATACTAGTAACACACATATGAACACACTGAAGTTAACAATGCAATACTGTTAATATTCATTCAAAATTAAAATGAAAGACAGGTGTAAATCTCACAAGACATGTACAGGACTTGAATGCTGAAAACTACAAATTACTGGTGAAAGAAATTAAAGTTGTAAAGAAACATGCCATGTCATAGATTAGAAGGCAATGGAATAAAGATATCAATTCTCCCCAGATTTATACACAAAATTATGCAATTCCCAGTAAAATCCTTGTAAGTTTTTTTTGTAGATATTGATAGGATTATTCTAAATCTTAAATGAAAAGGCAGAGGAACTAGAATAGCTAAAACATTTTGAAAAAGAAGATTGAAGTGGGAAGAATCAATCCATCTAATTTCAAGACTTATTTTATAGCTAAAGTAATTAAGATTGTATGGTATTGGCTGAAGGACAAACACATAGATCAACGGAAAAGAATACAAACCCAGAAAAAAACTCACATAACTATGCTCAACTAATTGTTTACAAAAATGCAAAAACAATACAGTGGAGGAAAGACAGGCTTTTCAGAGGCGCTGGAGCAATTGGATAGCCATAGGCAAAAAAACAAACCTTGAACCAAATCTCACACCTTATATAAAAATTAACTAAAATGCAGCACGGACTTCATGTAGAATGCAAATTTTTAAAAATTATTATTATACTTTAAGTTCTAGGGTACATGTGCACAACGTGCAGGTTTGTTACATATGTATACATGTGCCATGTTTGTGTGTGCACCCATTAACTCATCATTTACATTAGGTATATCTCCTAATGCTATCCCTCCCCTCTCCCCCCACCCCATGACAGGCCCCAATGTGTGATGTTCCCCATCCTGTGTCCAAGTGTTCTCATTGTTCAGTTCCCACCTATGAGTGAGAACAAGTGGTGTTTGGTTTTCTGTTCTTGTGATAGTTTGCTGAGAATGATCGTTTCCAGCTTCATCCATGTCCCTACAAAGGACATGAACTCGTCCTTTTTGATGGCTGCATAGTATTTCATGGTGTATACGTGCCACATTTTCTTAATCTAGTCTGTCATTGATGGACATTTGGGTTGTTTCCAAGTCTTTGCTATTGTGAATAGTGCCGCAATAAACATATGTGTGCATGTGTCTTTATAGTAGCATGATTTATAATCCTTTGGGTATATACCCAGTAATGGGATGGCTGGGTCAAATGGTATTTCTAGTTCTAGATCCTTGAGGAATCGCCACACTGTCTTCCACAATGGTTGAACTAGTTTACACCAAGATTGTAAAAGCATTCCTATTTCTCTACATCCTCTCCAGCATCTGTTGTTTCCTGACTTTTTAAAGATTGCCATTCTAACTAGTGTGAGATGGTACCTCATTGTGGTTTTGATTTGCCACCTCGCAGTTCAATCTCAGACTGTTGTGCTAGCAGTGAGCCAGGTGGGTCAGAGGGATATCATCTCCTGGTGTGCCATTTGCTAAGGCCATTGGAAAAGCGCAGTATTAGGGTGGGAGTGTCCCGATTTTCCAGGTACCGTCTGTCCGGCCTCCCTTTGCTAGGAAAGGGAATTCCCCGACCCCTTGTGCTTCCCAGGTGAGGCGATGCCCTACCCTGCTCTGTGGGCTGCACCCACTGTCTGATAAGCCCCAGTGAGATGAACCTGGTACCTCAGTTGGAAATGCAGAAATCGCCCATCTTCTTCATTGCTCACACTGGGAGCTGCAGACTGGAGCTGTTCCTATTCAGCCATCTTAGAACCAAGTTTTCCCTAGAATGTAAAATTATAAAATTTTTAGGAAAAATAATTTTGGGATCTAGGACTGGCAAAGAGTTCTTTGACTTGACACCAAAAACATGATCCATAAAAGAAAAAGCTGATAAATTGCAGCTCATCAAGATGATAAATTTTTGCTCCACAAAATACTCTGCTAAGAGGATGAAAATATAAGCTACAGACTGGGACAGAATATTTGCAAATCACTTATCAAAACAGGATTATTTAGAATATATAAAGAACTCTTGAAAATCAACAGTAAAACAAGCAAACAAATAAAAAAACCAATTAGAAAATGGGCAAAGGTAGAAACAAACATTTCAGGAGATATACAGGTAGCATATAAGCACATAAAAAATTGTTCAACCTTATTGGCCATTAGGGAAATGCAAATTAAAACCACAATGAGATATTACTACATACTTATTAGAATGGCTAAATAAAAAATAGTGACTACACCAAATACAGAGAAACTGGATCACTCAGACATTGCTGGTGAGAGTGTAAAATGATATGGTCCTTCTGGAAAACAATTTGGCTGTTTCCTAAAAAACTAAATATGCAATTACCATGTATTCTGGTAATTATACTCCTGGGCATTTGTCCCAGGGAAATGAAAACTTATGGTAACATAAAAACCTATAAGTCAGTGATTACTGCAGTTTTATTTGTGATAGCCCCAAACTGGAAATAACTCAGATAGCCTTCAATAGTTAAACAGTGGTACACGCATACCATGGAGTTCTACTCGGCAGCGAAAGGAGTGAACCATTAATACATTTGGTAACTTGAATAAATCTCTGGGGAGCTATGCTATATGAAAATAAAAACTAATCATACAGTGTGATCCCATTTATATAACATCCTTGAATTGGCAAAATTATAGAAATGGAGAACACAGATTTGTAATCGCCAGGGATTAAGAAGGCAGTGGGTGTGGGAGGGAAGTAGAGGTAGCTAAAAAGTGAAGTTTGAGGCACCCTTGTGGTGACAGAAATGTTCTACATCATAACTGTATTAACGTCAATATTTGGGCTGTGCAGGAGTTTGAGATGAGCCTAGGCAACATAGTGAGACCCTATCTCTATGAGAGAGAGAGAGAGAGAGAGAAAGAGAAAGAAAGAAAAGAAAGAAAAAAGAAAGAAAAAGAAAGAAAGAAGAAAGAAAGAGAAAGAAAGAAAAAAGAAAGAGAAAAAAAGAGAAAGGAAAGAAAAAGAAAAAGAAAGACAGAAGAAAAAGAGAAAGAAGAAAGAAAGGAAGGAAGGAAGGAAGGAAAGAAGGAAGGAAAGGAAAGAAAATGAAAAAGATTAGCCAGGTGTGGTGGTGCATGCCTGCAGTCCCAGCTCCTCAGGAGGCTGAGATGAGAGGATTACTTGAGCCCAGGAGATCAATGCTAAGTGAACTGTGATCACACAGTTGCACTCCGGCCTGGTTGATGGAGTGAGACTCTGACACACACACACACACACACACACACACACACACACACACACACACACAGCCCAGTTCTGATATACCATGGTCTTGCAAGATGTTACCATTGGGGGAAAGGATACAAGAGATTTTTCTATTTTTTTTTTTACATCTGCATGGGAATTTTTAATTATCTCAAAATGGAGGGAAAAAAAGGTGTGGCTTGAACAGAATACCCTGCAATTTTGATTGCAAAATTCCATCTACAAACTGCTCAGTGGTGCTTGTGTTTAGGAAAACACTTAGGTTTTCACTTAGGGAAGCTTTCCTTCCTCTCCCTTTCCTGACAACCTACCCACACTGTCTCTGTACACCTGGAGAGGTGATTCCTCAGGAAGATGAGAGAAGATTTTCAAAAGCTTTGTTGCTATTAGTAATAAAGCCAACTTGTTCCATTACAGGAGTGTTTTTGGTGGTCTTGGGCTCTGAAGGACTGACAAAAATGGAGTGTCATGAGATTCTTCTGAAGTCCTTGCTGCCTTAAGCAAGTACCCTTGACTCAGTAATGATGCATACATGTGGGACCCTGTTCATGGCTAGGCTCTGATATTTTGTTGAGAACTGTCAGCAATGTGTTTATTTTGTTTTCCTAGGAATAGATCCTCAGAGTCTTTCTGGTCTGTAAAACTTGTTGCAAATCTAGTCAGCCGGAAATATTGTTTTCTAGCCTCTAACATCTGTTCTATGATTTGTCTATTGTCCTGAGTGTTGTTCGTTTATACAAGGAAAAGCCCATAAGGCAAGGACAAGCCAAGTCCCCATAAGTCTGTCCTCTGGCTCCAGGGACTGAGAATTCAGGACTCACATGCTTTGGACAAACTTTGGCCTTTGGATAAACTTTGTGTCAGGTCACCATTTAAAAACTTGTAAGGACTTCCTCTGTCTTATCTTTTTTTCATTTCTCAGCCCTCATTGTAGACAATTGACTTTTGCCCAAATTCTGGAGACTCAAGATCGGAGAATCAAGGTCAGACAAGTTCACATCTGATGGGCTCCACTCAATCTAAAACTGCACTTCTTCCAGATACCTGTTTCTTTCAGATTTCCGCACTGTAACACAAACGTGCATGTTTATCTCTACAGCGGGCACAGTTTCACCAAGGACAATCTGGAATCGCAATGGCCACGCTGAGGAACTTTGAATACAAACACGATGGTTTACTTTAGAGGCACTTTAGAAAAGTGAAGAAATCTTCAAGAGAAGATTGTTCTGTTTGACTAACAGTGATTCTTTTGTTCAAAGTTGGTGATAGCCCCTTCTTTTATTTCCATACTTTAGGAATTAATAAGTGCTGGTTAATTGATAAAATCGCCAAGGGCTTAAACCAATTTTAATGTCACTCTTTTTTTTATTTAAAAATCTATTCTTTTACATAAAAACCTTCCTCCCTCTCTTTTCAGAGGGAACATAATTAGCCTTTTTTTTGGGTGTTGATTTCATATTCATCTGCAGCAGATTCCCTTTACTTTCTTTTTTCCCTCTATTCCCCCTCCTCTCTTTCTCTTTTCCCCCTCTTCAGAAATTAATCTTTACCTTATCAAATGAGCCATTCACTTTTTGTGTGCACATTCAAGGGATATCTAGTTCAGATAAATAGTCAAAATGTCTGAAAAAAAAAAGGGAAAAAATGTTATTAAACTGCATTTCTTTCTGTGGACACTAACAGTATATTTACATAGTAGCCTTTATTATAATTATGAGAAAAGAAGAACAGGCATTATATATAAGTTAAAAGATTACATGTTTGACATGATTCAGAGTCTTCAAAAAATTACTTTAATACAAAAACTAGTGTCACTGCAATATTTTGGTTTCTACAAGGCCTGAGTTAAATTTTTTTTATTAAACTGAATTTTCTACATTGGTGGTATGAGTTCAACAAGATTCCACTATTTCTATAACTTGTCTAAATTTAGAATTTTAGTTTAATATATATAAAATTGTATTAAACTAAAGTGAATGATAATAATAAATGCCTTTATAATTTTTATAAAATTCTTACAATGCTACAAATCATAAGATTTCATTTGTTAACTAAAATTGTAATTTCCTGATCCTTAACAAACTTTAAGGACTTAGACAAATGGTTAATTGATAATAATCCTTTGGATGCCTAGACAATTTCTAAATAAGAAACATAAAAACACTAGTCATTAAATACAATTACCTTTACTTCTTAAAATGACAATAGATTAACAAAATATGCAAATTCCTTTGAATGACATCATATATTTACATATTGAAACTGTTTAAATTGTATGCAATAAATACTAGTAGACCAAAAAAATATCTAAGTAAGTTATGTTTTCTCTCCTTTTTCTTTTGTGCCTAAAGAAAAGGAAAGTTGATTACTTTGGTTAAAGATGATAATTAATATAAATGCTTAATACAGAGAAACACAAATATGTATACAGGATAATAAATATCCTGCTGATTTTCTGTTTATTAGGAAAGTTGAAACCATTTATTCAGAGAGTAAATTTTATTTTGACATATATATTATTTTATCTAATAGATTTAATTTTAAAACTATAGTTAAAATATAAAATTTAAAGCGTATTATCTATTTGTATATTTACATATCTGTGTATGCCTAAATGTATACATGTAAAGGCACATTAATAAATTCTCTACTGTAGAATGTTACACGAATGATGTATAAAAAGAGTAAAGTTAGAATTGGAGTCTTTTTAATATACAAAAATTAAGTTATGCTATGCCCATATTAGTAAATATTTCTTTTTGTTAATAAAACATTCTGTTAACTTTCAGTGCTTTTTGACACTTTTAAATCATTTTTAAAAAGACTCCTTGCTTTAATAAAATGTTGTTTCTAATGACTATTGTTAATTGCTATGTGTTTTTACAATGTCGTCTATTATTTATGGACCCTAGATACTTATGACTTACATCTTGCCTCCTGGAACAACTATTCTTGATTCCTTCCAAAATTCAGGCCCCAAATTCAGAATAATCAAGCTATTAATATGTCTTTTGTGCCTACACTATCTTTGGTTTTACTGTAATGGCTATTAGGTAACACAAGATTTGTTTTGTCATTCTATGAAAGGAAAGACAATGGGAATAATTAGATTTTCAAATATCCTTTGAATTTAAATTAATTTAAAATTATTATGAGAGCTCTTTTATTTACCAAACTTACTAATAAAAGCTGATAAAAATATTTTTATTTTTTCTAAGTTAATTATATTTAAGTAAAATATGCTAATATAAATATCTTTTAAGGACTGTACCCTTTTTTGAGTTAAAAAAAGAATGCTTATGTTTAAGCACAAAGATTACTGTAATAACTGTGTATCAAAATATCTTTTTCCAAGATTCTCAATTAGCAACCCCACTTTACTTTTTTGTCATGAGAAGTCTGAAAAAACACTAGGGGCTTTGACTCAATGACATGGGACTCATCAAAAATCTATTATTTATTTCAGTCTTTCATTAGCTCCAGTAGTCACAGCATAATTGTCTTGTCTAAGAGTTCTAGCAGCTGCAGCAAAGCTTGTGGAAGCTGGAGTGACTCAGTCAAACTAGTTCTAGGGTCTACACTAAACCTAATAATTCCCCTGTTTTATTGATAGATATAACTCAAGATTTTTCAGCTAGTCACTTAATCTCTGAGGAAATTGTTGGTTTCCCTTCAAATATCACTGTTCATCACTGTAACACTCTAAACCCAGTGACCCTCTCTCCTTCATCTGTAGAAAAAGAAGCTGATGATTGATTACCTCTGTTGAGGAACTCTCCATACCTTGCATGGACCTTCTATAGACTCCCTTGGATATCCATAATTTAACTTTGCTTGTTGTTGGTTCAGACTGAAAAAACAAACAAACGAACAAAAAGTAAAAATTGACTAGTAGGATAGGCTGTCACTGACTTTGTGATAGCAAGTCTAGGTAAAGCTAGACTTAAATAAGTTCAGATGACAGAGTAAATTGCCCTCATTCAGACCTGCAAGCTGACAAAAGAAAAAAGAATACTTATACACTGATATTGGCATTTGATTTGGGATTAGTCCTGAATTCAAAATGCATTGAAAAAGAAGAGGTCTCCAATAACAAGTTCTGAAATTGAGGCAGTAATTAATAACCTACCAACCAAAAAAAAAAAAAGCCCAGGAGCAGATGGATTCACAGCCGAATTCTACCAGAGGTACAAAGAGGAGCTGGTACTATTTCTTCTGAACCTATTCCAAACAATAGAAAAAGAGGGACTCCTCTCTAACTCATTTTATGAGGCCAGCATCATCCTGATGCCAAAACCTGACAGAGACATAACAAAAAAAAAAAAAAAAAGAAAATTTCAGGCCAATTTCCCTGATGAGCATCAGTGTAAAAATCCTCAATAAAATACTGGCAAACTTAATCCAGCAGCACATCAAAAAGCTTATACACTACAATCCAGTTGGCTTCATCCCTGGGATGCAAGGTTGGTTCAACACACACAAATCAATAAATGTAATCCACCACAGAAACAGAACCAATGACAAAAATCACATGATTATCTCAATAGATGCAGAAAAGGCCTTTGACATAATTCAACACCCTTTTATGCTAAAAACTCTCAATAAACTAGATATTGATGAAACATAATTTCAAAATAATAAGAGCTATTTATGACAAAACCACAGCCAATATCATACTGAATGGGCAAAAGCTGGAAGCATTCGCTTTGAAAATACACAGAAGACAAGGATGCCCTCTCTCACCACTCCTATTCAACATAGCATTGGAAGTTCTGGCCAGGGCAATCAGGCAAGAGAAAGAAATAAAGCATATTCGAATAGGAAAAGAGGAAGTCAAATTGTCTCTGTTTGCAGATGACATGATTGTATATTTACAAAACCCCATAATCTCAGCCTAAAACCTCCTTCAGCAAACAACTTCAGCAAAGTCTCAGGATACAAAATCAATGTGCAAAAATTACATGCATTCCTATACACCAGTAATAGACAAGAAGAGAACTAACTCATGAGTGAACTCCCATTCACAATTGTTACAAAGAGAATAAAATACCTAGGAAAACAACTTACAAGGGGTATGAAGGAACTCTTCAAGGAGAACTACAAACCACTGCTTAAGGAAATAAGAGAGGACACAAACAAATGGAAAAACATTCCATGTTCATGGATAGGAAGAATCAATATCACGAAAATGGCCACACTGCCTAAAGTAATTTATACATTCAATGCTATCCCCATCTAGCTACCATTGAGTTTCTTCACAGAATTAGAAAAAAAACTACTTTAAATTTCATATGGAACCAAAAAAGAGGCCATATAGCCAAGACAATCCTAAGCAAAAAGAACAAAGCTGGAGGCATCATGCTATCTTACTTCAAACTATACTACAAGGCTACAGTAACCAAAACAGTGTGGTACTGGTACCAAAACAGATATATAGACCAATGGAACAGAACCAAGGCTGCAGAAATAACACCACACATCTGCAACCATCTGATCTTTGACAACCTGACAAAAACAAGAAATGGGGAAAGGATTCCCTATTTAATAAATGGTGCTGGGGAAACTGGCTAGCCATATACAGAAAACTGAACCTGGACTCCTTCCTTACACATTATGCAAAAATTAACTCAAGATAGGTTAAAGACTTAAACATAAAACGTAAAATAATAAAAACTCTAGAAGAAAACCTAGGCAATACCATTCAGGACATAGGCATGGACAACGACTTCATGACTGAAACACAAAAGCAATGGCAACAAAAGCCAAAATTGACAAATGAGATCTAATTAAACTAAAGAGCTTCTGCACAGCAAAAGAAACTATCATCAGAGTGAACAGGCAACCTACAGAATGGGAGAAAATTTTTGCAATTTATCCATCTGACAAAGGGCTAATATCCAGAATCTACAAGGAACTTAAACAAATTTACGAGAATAAGCAAACAACCCCATCAAAAGTGGGCAAAGGATACGAACAGACACTTCTCAAAAGAAGACATTTATGTGGCCAACAAACATATGAAGAAAAGCCCATCATCACTGGTCATTAGAAAAATGTAAATCAAAACCACAGTGAGGTACCATCTCATGCCAGTTAGAATGGCAATCATTAAAAAGTCAGGAAACAACAGATGCTGGAGAGGACGTGGAGAAATAGGAATGCTTTTACACTGTTGGTGGGAATGTAAATTAGTTCAGCCATTGTGGAAGGCAGTGTGGTGATTCCTCAAGTATTTAGAACCAGAAATACCTTTTGACCCAGCAATCCCATCACTGGGTATATACCCAAGGGATTATAAATCATTGCACTATAAAGACATATTCACAAGTATGTTTATTGCAGCACTACTCAAAATAGCAAAGACTTGGAACCAACCCAAATGTCCATCAATGATAGACTGGATAAAGAAAATGTGACACATATACACCATGGAATACTATGCAGCCATAAAAAAGGATGAGTTCATGTCCTTTGCAGGGACGTGGATAAAGCTGGAAACCATCATTCTCAGCAAACTGACACAGGAACAGAAAAGGAAACACCATAGGTTCTCACTTACAAGTGGGAGTTGAACAATGAGAACACATGGACACAGGGAGGGGAATATCACACACCAGGGCCTATTGGCAGGTGGGCAGCTAGAGGACAGATAGCATTAGAAGAAATACCTAATGTACATGACGGTTTGTTGGGTGTAGCAAACCACCATGGCCCTTGCATACCTATGTAACAAACCTGCACATTCTGCACATGTATCCCATAACTTAAAGTATAACCAAAAAAAAAAAAAAAGAAGAAGAAGAAGAGGTCTCCTGACACTACAAGAACACCTATAAAATAGAAGAAGTCTCAGATACTTGGGAAGCTGAGGCAGGAGGATTGCTTGAACTCAGGAAGTCGAGGCTACAGTGAGCCGTGATTGCACCACTGCACTCCGGAAAAATACATCTGCTGAGGTCCTTACAAGTCTATCAACAAACTCTAATCCTTGAGGAGTGAGAACAAAGATTGGGCCTATCCTGGGTAAAAATAGTTACTTCAGAGACACTCCAGCCTGCTTAGCAGGACTTGTTTGACTTCACTGAAGGAATTTTCCCATCTCTAGTGACACTGCCTCCACCACGACCAAATAAAGAAAATGGTGAATTCCTGTTGTAATTAACGATTTTTAAATTGCCAATATTAATACAGTTTCTGCTTCACCAGGACAGTCCTTCTTATGTGGACATAAGGCTTACGGTCACCTGCCACACACTAACTTTCCTGTGTATTCAGGAAAATTGTTAGAGAATTTCAGTTGTTTAAAACTACCACCCCTCCAGTGGATGTTGTTTCCCTAAAAAGAATGCAAAGAAATCTCCAAAAAACTCAAGCACAGTCCACTTGAGATAACTCTTCAGACAGAGGGCTGCATTCTTGTGTTGCATACTATGTGTTTTGGTCAGGGTTCTTCAGACAGACAGAACCAATAGGATATTATAGAATTATAGATGATAGATAGATGATAGATAATTGATAGATAATCGATAGATAATAGATGATTGATAGATAAATGATAGATTATAGATAACTGATAGATGATAGATACATGATAGATATTTGATAGATGATGGGTAATTGATAGATGATAATCGATAGATAATAGATGATTGATAGATGATTGACAGATGATAGATAATTGGTAGATACATAATAGATAGATAGATAGATAGATAGATAGATAGATAGATAGATATTTAGATGAGAGGAGATTTATTAGGGGAATTGGCTCACACAATTATGGAGGCTAAGAAGTCCCACAACAGGCAATCTGCAAGCTAGAGACCCTGGAATGCTAACAGCGTGCTTCAGTTGGCCTCAGAACCAGGTGTAATTCTCAGGCTGAGTTTGAAGGCCTGAGAACCCGGGGACCCACTGGTGAAAGTCCTGGAGTCCTAAGGCCAGAGAGCCTGGAGTTCTAATGTCTAAGGGCAGAAGGAGAAGAATGTCCCAGCTCCAGGAGCAAGAGAGCAAATCCCTTTCTCTTATTTTTTGCTCTATTCTGGCCCCAAGCCAATTAGACAGTGCCCACCGATTGAGAGCAGAGGTTCCCCACACAGTCCACTGATTCACACAATAATCTCCTCTGGAAACACCCTCACAGACATACGCAAAAGTCATGCTTTACAAGTTATTCAGGTATTCCTTAATCCAGTCAAGTTGACACTTAAAAATGACACTATACAAGCAATGACAGCTACAGCTGGAAAGTATCACCTAAAACTTGTCTCTGAGCCTGAAAAAAAGTCATAAATTATACTACTTCTGCTCCGGAAGCCTAGGTTTAAATTTAAATTTGTAAGGCAGAGTTGTCATGGATTATCACGTAGCCTTAAATCTCTTCTTAGCTAGCTAAAGAGAAATTTGTGCTAACCACTTCTTGCTGCACATGTATAAATACTATGGAGCAGCCATGACTGTGGGAGGAAAGCCTATTGGACATCTAGAAAAGAACACACAAATTTGGGGGGACATATTTTCATTGCTTGGGTACGATAATCTGGGTCCCTGTTTTCAGAGTCTGTTAGAAGAACTAAAAACCACATTTGCTTCTGCAAAGCCCTACTTCCTGGAATATTATCCTCAAATTACCTAACATGAGCACAAATCTTATAGTATAATTCCTGACTAACAACCTTTCCTGAGACACCGCAGTTTCCAATGGTGTACATTTTCTCTGGATACAAGAAGTCCATGAACCCAATTTTGTTAACGACAGCCATGTCCCTAATGGCCTTTGACTAGAAGACCTTGACCCTGAGAATCCATATAATGATCTAAAGAATAAAGGAGGTATGGTAAAGCAGTAGT